AGTAGGCCAGATTGAGCAGTCTCAAAATTATTCTTGTGATTGATCGTGCAGTCGTATTGTGGCTTCATTTTTTTGTCGAAAGCGCTTGCTTGTCTGTGAGGATCTGGAATGGGGCGCGCGGATGGGAACAGCGTTTTGCCGTTCTCTTGATCGTCTTCACCGCGGGACCATCCTGACAGCCTTCATCGCTGCATCGATCTGCGTAAGTTTGAGTCCAGCGAGTTGCGCCACGGACCAAGGTCTTCTGCCTTACTACCGCATCGGGGATGATGTAATTATGTCGCCATCATCTTTGCAACTTTCCTGTCCGTCATCCCGGGTTTCCACCACCTGGTCATCATTACACAGCCTGAAACATCAATAACATCATCATTCATTGAGGCCGGCACCGTTTTACCTCGTTGCCTAGTGCTTCGTTTGTGTTTTTGTTGGCCCAGTCTGCCGTGCCCATTGCGTCGCTGCAGTGGGGCGGTGCGCTGGCCATTCTTTTTCCATGCGGGGTGCGGGCTCTTGGGATGATGGCGAGGAGGCGTCCCTGGTGCAGGGCGACTGCGAGTTCGAGCTAGAAAGGTGGGGCAAGGAAGCCTATACTATACAGTGAATGCTTCCCCCTTGCAGTACAGTCCCAGACATCCGACTTCTCGATTGTTTCGAGACTCGGGCCCCCGATCCCCCCGACCACTTCCCCAGGACCGGTTTTTCAGTCCGAGTCGTTTCTTGACGGTCCCGAGGCCCGGCGAGTGCCGCGTGAGGCCGAAAACGATGAAGAATCTCCGTCCCGATTTTTTCGAGACGCCCGATGTCTGGGGTCAGACGGCGGGGGGAGGGGGAGCGGGTGAGAATGCGGACGAAATCTACGTAGCTGCGGCGGGGAGTACTTCACCACATGTAGGCCTCCGAGGCCCGGACAGGCCCGTCAGGGCAGCCAGCTCCGGCAGGGACGACGCGCGATGGCTGAGCAGACCGCAGATGGAGCTGCTGCAGGGCGTCGTGGTTCGCCTGTATCGAAGACGCCTAACGCGAATCACCGTTGCCCCCTGCCTTGTATAGAGGAACGAACAATGGCATAAACATACAAAAATTGAGGTCCGCGCGGATTTCTCGGATCGGCGCTGGACCCCCCTGGCGGCGCCTCCGGCGCCGCTCCTGGCGCGCTCCGCGCGCCAGGGAGGGGGGTCCAGCGCCGATCCGAAAAATCCGCGCGGACCTCCGAGTTTCTGTGTTTATGTCAATCTTCGTCCCCCTGTTTAGGGATACGTCAGTGTGGTCAAACGTTCGGGCAAAGCTTGGCCGCGCCATTGGGCCATGCGTTCCCCCAGCCGTCGTGGAAGCCCTTCGGAGAACTCGTTGGGGAGGAAGAGGACGACGAGGAGAGGGGGGGGGGGGGGGGGGGGAAAAATGGAGGAGGGGTTGGATGAGGAGACCTCTTGGGGGCCTCTTGGGTCATTATTGAGGTTTCCTGCCTCTTGGAGGCCTCTTGGGGACCTCTTTGGGCCTCTTGGGAGCCTTTAGTGGCTTCCTATGGGTCTCTGTGGTAGTCTTACGGCGTCCCTAGCCCGTCTGACGCCGTCGGGATACATTTTGGGAGTCTCCCTGGGCCGTCTTGGCGCCCTCTTGGAGCGCGTGAGAGCTGTCTTGCAGCCCATCTTGGGCGTCTTGGAGCGTCTTCGGCCGTCTTAGGGCAATATTGGTTTTGGAGGGTCTTGTGTCGATCTTGGTAGCGTCTTAGGCCGTCGGAGGGCCGTTTTGAAGCAAATGTGCGAATACGTCAGAAACCCAAGGACAACAGGTGTTTGGCCGTATTGGGCTCTGTTTGGCCATCTTGGCGGTCTCTGAGGCATCTTGGGGCCATATTGGAGTCCATCTTGAGGTTATCTTGGGTTCCCTTGGGGCCATCTTGCCCATCTTGGAGGCAGCGTGGAGGTTATCTTGGGCCATCTTGGCAATCTAGGAGGCGATTTTAGCAATGGGTGTTTTTTCCCCGGGGCTTTCCGCTAACCTTGTCATCTCACGACGTTGGTAGATGCTTTACCCCAGCATCAAGGGGGCAAGTGTACCCCCAGCCCACCAGGGAGGGGGCAAGTGTACCCCCGGCCCACCAGGGAAGGAGCCACCAGGATTCGTCCCTGTGAGCACCCCCCCAAACTTCCGTGCTGGCCGCTGCCTCGCGAATCGGGAGCTGAGGTGGCGGCCGCGCACCGGCCGTAGCTTAGTCCTTCGCCGCGGCACGCGCGTGCCGTGACGCGGAGCGGGCGGGCGGGCGGGACTCGAATGTAATCGTCGCGGCCGGCGCGAAGGTGCGCTCGCAGGAGACGCGCCGCACTGCGGCGGTCGTCGTTCGGTCGTGCGCCGCGCCGCGCCCTGTACGGCGCCCTGTCGCGGAACGGCAGGCCCCACGGCCCCGTAGGGTGCCGTCTGCCCTGGGACGGCCCGCGCCTTGCACAGCGCCCTGCCAAGGAACGGCAGGCACTCGGCCCCGCGAGGACGTGACCCCCCGAGCCTTGACCCAGCGACACAATTGGCGCCGACGAAGCCAGGCAAGGCCGCCTGCGGTGAGCGGCCAGCACACTCGGAGCTGGCCAGTCGATGTTCGCCCCCGACGTGTAAAGCACCCGCGTCTCTAGATCGCCCGTTCTCCGAAAGGCTTCGCCTTCCTCCAAACAGGGTCAATCTCACGACGTTGGTAGATGTTTTACCCCAGCATCAAGTAGGCAAGTGTACCCCCAGCCCGCCGGGGAAGGAGCCACCAGGATTCGTCCCAGTGAGCACCCCCCGAAGCAGGCCCCCTTGAGGCGGTGTTCCGCGCAGCGGCGTGAGTAGGTGTTTTGTTGTTGTTTCTTCCCCCAGAGGTTCGAGCGTTCTCGCGACGGGCGTCTTCCCTCGCAGGCGTTTGCTTGGCCTGGTCGTCGTCTGCTCAGCAGAGTACGAGGTTACGCTCTCGAGAAAACAATGCATTAGCGTGCCCGGGGACGTGTCGGCGCAAGACTGACGCATGACATCTTCCGAATTCCACCCCCTTTGCCGTTGGACAAAGTTCGGGGGTAGTTTTGCTACGTGCGTGAACCACTCCGTTCCGCCTCTACGAAAGGAGTGTGTACTGCAAGCCTCGTCAAAAATAAACAGAAACGCAGTTGGAAATCACGACGATCGATCTTCTCGGGCATTTGTTAGAAACTGCGTTCTTCAATGCTGCGGAGGGGTCGTCGGAATTTTGAAGCCCTTGCGTCCACGTCAGATATCTAGCGCCAGCACTGGAGTAGCGCCGACCATACAATCACCGAAAACAGAATCCTTCAGTTTATTTTTGACGAGGGACTCGTCAAACATAGACAGAAACGCAGTTGGAAATCACGACGATCGATCTTCTCTGACACTTGTTAGAAATTGCGTTCTTCAATGCTGCGGAGGGGTCGTCGAATTTTTGAAGCCCTTGCGTCCACGTCAGATATCTAGCGCCAGCATTGGAGTAGCGCCGACCATACAATCACCGAAAACAGAATCCTTCAGTTTATTTTTGACGAGGGTTGTGGTAGCGGGGTCCTTAAATGGGCCGACACCATTTTGCGACACAGGTCAGCGCTAACAGGTTGGTGTCTGGGACCTGTTGTGGTGCAGAAGAAGAAAGGCAAATCCGACGCGTTGGCCGCCCGCCACTCTGCCCAATCCTGAATAATTCTGGTCGGCGATTAGACGGCGATCTGCACGGAAGGGATGAAATTCCATAGGCCTTTGCCGCGCGGGTCGGTTTTCTGCCTCTGGATGAGACAGCTCACGCGCGCGGCATTGAAGTGCACGTCCTCGGCGCGAAGACTGAGCGCCTCCGACACACGGCGCAGGCCGAATAAACAAAATGATGCTGAAGCTGCATCTCTGCGCCCTGCCGGCGTGCATGCGGCAGATCTGGACGCAGAGCAGTGCGATGCTCGATCTCTGGCCCATGATCTGGAGTGTGCTCGACGATCGTGGTCCTGGTCTGGTCGAAGTGTTTTGGACTCAAAGTCATTCGTCGGCCCAACAGAGGCCCAATTCGCCATTTGGGAAGAGGAGTTTTTTTCCTGGATTGGTGTGCTGATTTCTTTGAAGGGTGGGCCACGTGTCAAGTTTCCCCTTCGGTGGCCGGCGCGGACCTCACCCATGTTGTTGGTCGCCTCTCCTTCCACACCCTCGACCGCCTGTTGGCCGGCCCCAGGGAGGTTGAGCAGGAGAACCCGCGCCATGCTGCATACTGGCTCGGCCGCCCCCCGCCTCGCCTTGTCCCTCTTCCGTCGTTTCAGGTTCGGAGGCAGAGGTTGAGGAGCGTGGGCCACGAGCCTGTCGGGCGGCGTTCCAGCATCCAGCGTGAGTGTGTCAACGTCGTTTCAGCCTGAAGGGCGAGGTCCAGGACTTGTGCCCAGGTCACTGTCTTGGCCCTCCTCTTCTGTTGGTGGATCCCCTCCGCCACCCCTTGTACCCAGGACGTGCTAGCAGTCATCGCTTGAAAGTCCTGAGGTGAGTTTTGTACTGTGAGCATTGTGGTGCCCACGCCAGTGTGAATGTTCAGAGTCTTGCAGTGCCGTGCAAGACTGACCGTCCCCCTCTACAGCAGGCAAGGAGGTGATCTTCAGGCTCGCGATGGGGGCTGCGCCCAAAGAGCGGCGGTAAGTTCCCACAGGCCTGAGTTTGCAACGTGCCCAGGGTTGACCTGGTCCCCGCGCGCTTTCTCATCCATCCATCCATCCATCCATCCATCCATCCATCCATCCATCCTCCTCCTCCTCCTCCTCTCCTCCCTCCTCCTCCTCCTCCTCCTCCTCCTCCTCCTCCCTTCTCTTCCCCCTCCTCCTCCTCCTCCTCCTTCCCAACCCTCCTCCTCCTCCTCCTCCTCCTCCTCCTCCTCCTCCTCCTCCTCCTCTTCCTCCTCCTCCTCCTCCAACTCGTGCCTCGGGGCGCGGTGGCGGACTACTCCCGGGTCACGGCGGTCCTATACCTCGGCACGCTCCTGCTGGCAGGAACCCTGCTCGCCGTCACGCTGGGGATGGACACCCCGCTGCGGGACGCGCCGGTGATGCTGCTGGCGCTGGAGTCTCTGGTCACGTGAGACCCAGACCCCCTCGAGTAGTAAAAAATTCGGGACGGGCGGTTTTTCTCCATCTTCAGCCGCTGGGAGCCCTCACATGCCCTCGGGGCTGCCAAAACGACTCAGGATGAGAAGCCGGTCCCTGGGAATGGGTCCAGACCTCCTGGCCCCTCCCTCCCCCACTTCTTTCCGTCTGCCTCTCGCCCAACCGCCCTCCTTCTGCAATGCACGCAGCTCCCCTTCCGATTGCACATAACACGATGGTGTCGTCTGGGGGGGGGTCCAGGTCCACTATGACACCCGTCGGCGGATGGAGGAAGCATCAGCGCAATGGGAAGACATGGGGGGGACGGGTAGCATGTCAGATATGGCGCGAGCGTGCCCCCTCGCCCCCTCTCCCCCCCGCCCCGCAGTGGAGGAGAGAGCGGGGGAGCCGCGGGGAAGAGGAATGGGGGTGGGGTGACGGACTGGGGGGAGGAGGAGGGGGAGGAATGGGGGGAATGGGAGGAGCAGGGTGGGGGGGGGGCGCGGGGCGGGGGGGGACGAAGGACGAGGTGCCCGCAGACCGAGGCGCGCAGGACGAGAGCGCGCTGCTGGGAGGAAGGACGTGGAGGAGGAGGAGGAGGAGGAGGAGGAGGGGAGGAGGAGGAGGAGGAGGAGAGAGGAGGAGGGAGGAGGAGGAGGAGGAGGAGGAGGAGGAGATGAGGAGGAGGAGAAGGAGGAGGAGGAGGAGGAGGAGGGGGAGGAGGAGGGGGAAGAGGAGGGAGGAGGAGGAGGAGGAGGAGGAGGAGGAGGAGGTGGGGATGGGGAGGGAGAGGAAAGCCAGGTGGAGGAGTAGGGGAAGGAGGAAGAGGAAGCTGGAGGGAGGAGGACGACTCGGCGTACGATTGGACCGGCATCTGCATGCGGGGGTCTCTCTCAGGTCACCCTCTCGCTGTTCGCGGAGGTGATCCTGCGAGCAGTCGTGCTGGGGAGCCGCCTACTGGGCCGAACCGCGCACAATCCCGGCGCATCGCTGGTTCGGGCCGACAACTGGCGCTCTCGCGTTTCGCCTTTTCTCGTGGCGCCAACATCGCAGAGCAGATTTCGCTCGGAGAGCAATAAGATGAGCCCAGAGTGTCCTGGAGAATTTC